CCTCAGGGGGCGCCCTGCTGCAGCCGATGTCCCATCAGGAGGGACCCGGCCCCGGGCGGGTCGCAGCGGGCGGAAACGCCTTTGGAAGACGTAGGAGGACTAGCCCTTCGTGGCAGGGATAAGTTTTTTGCCTCGGGCTTGAGGTGAGGGGAAATCAGAGGTGACTGCTGGTTTCCTCGCACAGCCTGGTGCGGGGGGCGGGGAGGACTTTACACTTGACTCCTGCGGAGACGTCACCTTCCAGCTGGGGTCCTTGGAGCTCTAACAGCGCGGCTCACGCGCGGGTCCCCCTCCTGCTTTCTTTGAGGCTGCTGGTGGGCGGCGCCCGTGACCCATTTGGTCCTGAGGGTCCACGGGTCGGGTCAAGAGCTTCTAATCGTCCCCTTCCCGACCCCGTCGCCTGGAGGACAGGGCCCTTGGTTCCTCGGCTGGGCTGGGGTCTCTTCCAGGATGGACGTCCTGAGGCTGAGAAAAGCCCAAGAGGTGTGGAAAAGTAGGTTCAGAGAGAGGACGGGGGAAAGGGAAGGAGAAGCAGGTGACAGGAGAACCAGAAGAAACCCCAACTCCGAAAATAGGGAGAGGGTGCCACAGGGACAACCCTTCCCCCACCCCCCGGCCCCAGTTAGTCAGGGTTCTCCAGAGGGACTGCCCCAATAGGATATAGGTATATGTATATGAAAGGGAGTTTATTAGGGAAAATTGGTGCACACGATTTCAAGGCAAAGTCCAACGGTAGACCGTCTGCAAACTGGGAGGAGACAAACCAACAGAGGTCAGTCCACGTCAGAAAGCTTCAAAACCGGGGAAGCTCACAGGGCAGCCTTTATCCCCTGCCAAAGGTCCCAGAGACCCCGGAAGTCGGAAACTGCTGGTGCAAGCCCCAGAGCCCGAAGGCCAAATAACCTGGAGTCTGATGTCCAAGGAGGAAGGAAGCAAGAACCTGCACGGAAGGCAGAGAGAAGCCAGAGAGCTCCGTCCGCAGAGTCACCCCACCCTCTTACGCCTGCTCTCTTTTAGCCCAGCACTATTTGTTAGATAGGGAGTCTTTCTTCCATTGCTCATTTCTGTTGAAGATTAGATGGCGGTAGGTGTGCAGGTTGATTTCTGGGCTAATTTGTTCTACTGATCTAAGCGTCTATTTTTGTAACTGTGTAGGTCTGTGTTGGTCACTGTAGCCTTATAGTATATTTTGAAGTCTGGTAACGTGATGCCTCTGGCTTTGTCCTTTTTGCTTAGGATTGTTTTGAGAGTTTGAACTTTTTTTTTTTTTTGTTCCAAATATATTTTAGAATAGATTTTTCTAATTCTGTGAAAACCAATATTGGTATTTTGATAGTGATAACTTTTCATCTGTAAGTTGTTTTGGGAAGTATGGCCATTTTAGCTATATTGATTCTTCCAACCAATGAGCATGAAATATATTTTCTATTCATTTGTGTTGTCTCTGATTTTTTTTAGCAGTACTTTGTAGTTCTCTTATAAAGATCTTTCATCTCTTTGGGTAGATGAACTACTAGGTACTTCATTTTCTTTGTGGCTGTTGTAAATGTGATTGTGTTCTTGCTTTCATTCTCAGCTAGAATGTTGTTGGAGTATAAGAATGCTACTGATTGTGTACATTGATTTTATATCCTGAAACTTGACTGAATTCATGTATCAGTTCCAGGAGCCACTCCGGCTCCCCTTCTGTACCTGGGTTTTCCTTTGAGCCCCATTCCCTCCCGCAAGTGTCTCATTCATTCAGTTGCATGCTCAGCCTCCAACCACCACTTAAATCATGTCAGGTACACCTGATGAAGGAGAGAAAAAACATTCTCTGTGAGTCTGAAAAAGATTCTGGATTCCTGATAAGTATGTACTGTGTCCCCCTGGTGGCTGGAGGAGGTGCATGTTTGCTAGATCACAGCCTATATTACCACCTTTGGGCTGCTGCTATTCCCAGCTTGGGTGGGCCTGAGTCTGGTGGCCAGTAGCCTACAGCAGGAGTGAGGCAGGTGGGCCCAGGTGTGCACAGAGGCCCCTCCTCCTGTTACCTGGCTGTCCTGCCCAGGACTGTCCTGCCAGCCTTCTGCCTTCCTCCTGTTCACCCAATCACTGACCCAGGTCTTCCAGCCTCAGGGGTGGGGCTGCCAGGGCCTTCCCAGTGGCCTCCTCTCAGAACTAACCTAGGCTCCTGTCCCCAGCCCTGTACATGGGACTCTTCTCACACACAGATCCCGGGACCCACCAAGCTCTGCCCCTCCCGTGTGTAAGAACTGCCCATCCCTCTGTGTCTGTTGTCCTCCAGACTACCCTCCATGTGGCCTCTCCTGGATAGAGGCTCTAGTGCATCAGGCCAGAACCTTCTGGGTTCCTGTGTCCCTGCACAGTCACAGAGATGGGTGCCATCCCATGCCCCTGTCCTGAAGCAGAGACAGGCCCTGGAGTTGGCCCAGGCCTCCTCCCCTTTCCCACAGCCTCAGGACCCTGGGGATTGAAGGTCACCAGGTACAGGTTCTCCCCACATGAATACTGTGTGGAGAGGGATGTCTGTGCCCATCTTTTTTTCATTTAATGGGTAAAGGGCTGAGTGGCTGGAGGCAGAGTGGGACTCATGGTCTCTGCCCAGTCCTCACCCCAGGCTATGCCCTCCCCAGCAGCCAGGGGCCACTGGGCCCCCTACCTCCCTTCTACTTCTGCCCACAGTTCCAGATGCCTCCATAGTGACTGAGAAGAGGATGTGCTGGGGATTCCTCAGTTGTAGGTGCATGCAGGGGTGAGCCGAATGGAGAGGGGATACAGCCGCAGACTCAGGCCTGGGCAACCATCGATGGCTGTGTGGTAAAATGAGCCCTAGATGGAAGGAGACCCCTCCCTCAGCTCCTGTGCCCATGGAAATCCAACACTTCAAAGATCTCAGTCTCATCTGGATTAGGTCATGTATTTAGAAAGTGATGAAGGGACTCTGGGCCTTCATTCTGTAGAGCTGCTTCATTCTCTAGAGGGGCCTGGGGGTTGCCTGCAGGGGAGGAGGGGGCAGGAGAAGCTGCCTGAGGCTAAGAACAAAGGGTGAGAGGGGAACACCTGGAGGCCCTAGCTTTGCAGGAGGAGGAGCTGTGCTGCATTTATGGAGGTATTCACGCCTTCATTTCAATTTCTGAAAAGTAAGTTTTTCTTAAATTTCTATTTTCAACTAGTAAAAAATAAAAAGAAAATGAAACAAGCAGAATGAACAGAGTGGTCGCAAGCACATTACGGAGAACTTCTCTTCCTGCCCTACTTGAGAGTGAGCTGTCATGCTGATGCCCCATCTTAGAGATGCCACCTCATGCCCCATACTTTACTATGGTTTCCTTGCAAACCAGGACACTCTCCAGATAACCCCTGTGGAAACTCCAAATTAGATTTCACTGCAGACATTATGACCATCTCATGCTCAGATGCCACTCAGGGTTCAGCAATTATCCAGGGAGCTGATGGATGCGGGCATTTCCTACTCCCTCATTTTCCTAAATACATACGTTATGGTGCTCTGTTTGTCCCATTGATTGATCTGCATATTTTTGGAAATATGGAAAGTGATCTGGATTGATGGTGGTTATTTTTATTATGTGTAAAGGAGAAATCCTCACTAACATGTTGGAAAAGTTTAACATTTTCATCCAGCATTTGGATGGTTTCATTTTTGCTAGTTCAGATTTTGTAGGCTAATGTAGAGCGAAAGAGAAATCTCTCATCAACATTGAAAAGCATCCTGTACTGTACTGGAATATTTCACGGCCAACTTTTTGCTATGACAGTGAATAGCCCAGTCAGCAGTCTAGTATCTCCATACTCTCTGGAACATGTTTGGGGCCTGAAACTGACTCTGGGATTGCTGGTTAGTGGGATGAGCACAGCGTCCACTATCCTAGATACTGCCTGAGTAGACATCGAAGAAGTGATTCAATCTGGATTCCTACCCACAATGGAAGAAGTCTCTGATATTTCATTTCCTATCCACCAATTAGTAGAGACAGATGAAAACCATTTGTCAGTAGGAAGGGTGTGCAGGGGTAGACCGTTGTTCTCTTGATTGTGTCAGATATATAAAAGCTTTCACAGGTTTGTTCAGCATCTCTGAACTGCTCATGACATTTGCCCAAGAATTAGGTACATTTTGTTTATATATTCTCCTTCTGATTTTTTGTCTATGGGGGAATAGCATTACTTTTAAAAACAGAAATGTATCTGTGGTGAGGATTTCTTCTACTAGAAGTGAGCATGGTCAGGGCTAAAGAATGATGAGAAAAGCCACTGCCAAGCGTGGAGTGGGCTGGGGATAAACCAGAAAGTATCACATTCTGGAAGCAGGGATAGAGGCAGGAATACCTGCCGGCCCCCAGGGCATCAGGACAGTGGTGAAGACTGACAGCCAGGCTGCTTGTAAATTAAGAGTGATCTTTAAAGTCTCTGTCTCCAAAAGATATCTAGCAGCATCCCTGGGTGTATTACTAAACATAACATGGCAGAAGAATGAAATCCCATTAATTCTCTACTGGGTTACAAACCAAAATTCCAAAGCCAATAAGGTTCTTTGAAAATAGATATCTTTATTTAACTATAAGTACAGTCTAATAAATTACTAAATAAAATAATCATGAATGTAATACATTTTCATATTAAATACTTAAAAATTTCTACAACAGACGCTGTGGTTCAGGTCTGTAATCCCAGAGCAATTGGGAGGCAAAGATAAAAGGATTGCTTGAGGCCAGGAGTTGAAGACCAGCCTGGGCAATGTAGGAAGACCCAATCTCTACCTAAAAATAAAACAATTGCTAGGCATGGTGGCATGCGCCTGTAGTCCCAGCTATTCTAGAGGCTGAGTCTAGAGGATCACTTGAGCCCAGGAGTTAGAGATTACAGTGAGTGATGACTATGCCATTTCACTCCAATATGGTTGACAGAATGAAAAAATGTAAAAAAAAAAAAAAAACAAAAAAAACAATAAAAGGATTTTATTGTTAATAAATAAAATAACAATAACAAGGATTAATACCATTAACAATAACAATAAAAAGGATTAATACCATTATTAACCATAACAATAAAAAGGATTAATACCATTCTTGGTCAGTGCATGGAAAGGATCCCTGAGGCCTGAAGTCCACCATGCTATTTTACTAGCAATACCGTTTAGAAGAATAAGGTCATGCTTCAGAGAAGTGTCTGCTTTTCCACAATCAAAGAAGTAGAAATAAAATGCTTTTGCTGAGATTTCTTGTTCAGTTAAAACTTGTACAGGAATTCCATCCATTAGCACCAAAAGAAAATGGCAGAAGATATTAAGAAAAATGGCTGCTAGGATCATCAGCAAAGGTAACGAGTGGCATGAGATGTTGAGTCTACAATGTCCTCATCATCTGCTGGGGGCCAGTGGGCTTGCTAAGGCTTGAACTCCTGGTTGTCCAGTAAGGCACAGTGGTAAGTAGACAGGCGCCTTCTCTGAAGGGAGAGTGGGAACCAGACGAGGCTAACAAAGGCTTCCTGGTATCATCTTCCACCTTGGGAAAGATGAAGTGTTGGTTTAAGTGGCTGAGAAAAACCTGTGTCTATTCTCCTGGGTGATCCCTCCCATACCCTCCCCATTTCAGAGCTTCTCCCCCAAATAAGGAACATGTTTTTCCCTCCAACCCTACTCCTGGTTGTGCAGCCTGTCCCAACCTCCTCCCTCCTTCACCACAACACAGAGCCAGCCCAGGTCCTGTTACAGCCCTCAGGGGCTCAGAACTGAGGCTGGTAATGAGGGGTCTGCACCCTCACTCAGGGCCTGATCCTCTCTCTCATAGAAGAGTATAGAGGACCTGGGGGAGCTCTCTCCAAAGAGAGGTCTCTGGATCCATGTTCCCTGGCCTTGGGTGGGCTTGCAGGCAAACCTCCTTCTTTCCCCTTCGCTCTCAGCCTCTCCTCACCCTGGGAGCTGCACCCATAGCTCTGAATGGGACTGCCCCTGTCCCACCCCATTCATTCCCAGCCAAGCTCAGAGGCAACCATGGACCTCTAGCAGCAGCTCAGCTCCCCTGCCTGAGTCCACTCTGCTCCAGGCAGGGCCATCAGCTGGCTCAGGATCTGGAGTGTGCAGGAGGCAGAATGGCAGGGGCATCACCCCAGGGCCCGGCCAGGAATCCCATGGGTCCAAGGGGCTTGGCCATTTCCTAAACCTCATCCTGTACATGCTCTACTCTTCACCTTCCACCTTAACTGCTGGGACTCAAGGTGCTTTCTCTGGGAATGCAGCCTCAGGAACTGGGAGGAACTGGGTGGGCCAAGGCCCTCACAGCCCCCTCGTCCTGGAATTCCCCCAGGTCTCTCTCTTCTTAGCCTCTTCCAGGGACGCCCCTTCCCTTGACATCCTAGGTGAAGCGGCTATGCTGCTCCTCTCCTATTGGCGGACTGGAATTCCCCCAGGTCTGGAATTCCCCCAGGTCTCTCTCTTCTTAGCCTCTTCCAGGGACGCCCCTTCCCTTGACACCTCCTAGGTGAAGCGGCCATGCTGCTCCTCTCCTATTGTGCAGACTGCCCATGCCTGAGTTCCTACTGCCTGCAGGCCACACACCACTACCCTTCCCGAATAGAAACCTGCTCTGAAACAGGCCTGAATTGTCTAAACCCTCTTGAACTCAACAGGCCCTGAGCCTTGGTATAGGCCCCTCCCTTTCCCTCTGGCCCTGATGGTGAGAATCCATCAGAACCCAAAGTTGAGCTGCCCAGGTCACTGCCAACAGGCGACACCAGGTGTCATTCATCTGTCTCATGTCAGGATGAGAAGGTCCCAGCCATGGGGAGGGGTGGGGCTCTGGGAATTCTCCTTTCCCTTCCTCCCACCTCCCCTATCTGTCTCTTGTTCCCCTCACAGTTTTGCCTACAGTACCTGTCACTCTAAAGGACTCTCCTAAGATGCCAGGGAGGGTGAAGCAGAGGATGATGAGGAGGCTCCAGGGACTGAGGCTGGTGGCCATGGCTTTGGTCTGGGCTGTGCCTGGGGCCACGGTGGGTGGTGCTGAAATGGAAACACAGGAGTGACAGCCCTTGTCCACGCCACAAATCTGAGGAGATGCTTCCTCAGCTCCTGCTGCCCTAGGTCATCCTGGAAGGCAGAGGATTTGTCTCCCCTGCTGTGGGGCAGCCGCTGTGACAGTTCCTGGGGGTAGGAAGGGAGAGGGGGTGTCCCTGTCCTCAGGGAGCTCACATAGCTGCTGAGGAAATCAAGGTGACAGCACAGCCCACCCTCCTGCTCTGGTGGAAGAGGAGGTGATGCCCCAGGGTCGGGGACAGGAGAGTCTCGGGGCTGGCATTTGAGGTAGTTTTGATGGATTTCTAGAAAGAGACCAAGGGAGAGGAAAGGAAAAGTAATCCTAGGTGGAGGGAAATCTAAGGAGAAAGGCCCAGAAACACAATGACGCCTACAGTTTCGAGGCTGGCGAGAAATCCACAGTGAGTGGAGCAAAAGCAAGTGCAGTGAGGAAGAGGAGTCAGGAGGGAGAGAGAAGAGGAGGATGGGAGAGCCCAGGCACCCCAAGTAGGAGCCCCCCCATGAGGGGTTCACGTTCTTACACTCACTGACACACTCACACACACACATAGACTCACACCCACTCACACCCATACACCCACACCCACCATACTCAGACACTCACAGACAAGGGTGTAACTCGATGGCATCTCCAGGGTGCTCCCAGTGCTCCCCTGTCAGTTACCTGTGAGTTCCAGCCTCTTCTTCCTGTGCATCAGGAAGTCCCTAAGCCAGGTTTTGCAGTCTCCCATTGAGACCTTCTGGAAGAACATGGTTAGTTTGCTGTCCTCCCACTTCTCTTTCATCCGCCTGGCTCCAGCCTGAACCACTGTCCACTTTCTGTTGTTTGAGTCAAAGAGGAGGAACTTCTGTCCATTGAAGCTGAACTGCCAAGATCCACGGATGGGTCCGTTGACTTCACACTCACAAGACATCCTGGCCTGCAGCGTGAGGGGTCCTGCCCCAATCAGAAAGAGATCAGCTCTGGTCTTTACACATTCTCTTCCCTGTCCCACATCCTCCTATGCTGAGACCCTTCTCATCTGGTTCTGTTTTCTCCTCCAAGTCCTGCCCTTGCTGCTGGGCTTCATGGAGGTCCCACGTCTAATTTTTTCCCCACACAAAGTGCAGCCCCTGAGCCCACACTCTGCTCCCTTCTGTCCTTGGTCTCCTCCACTCACCGCTGGGTGTGAAATCCTCCAGCTCAGTGTCAGCCAGTTCCATTCTGAGCCTCCGCCCTGCCTCTTTCAGTATTTCCAATTGTTTTCCCCAGGCATCTGTGACATCCAGCTGCTCTTCTAGGTGACCCATAGATAAGACCTTGTCACTGCCACAGTCATAGGAGAGGAAATTCTTCTGATCAGCCTGGCCCTGGACCTCACACCACTGTTGCCCACGAGTGATGTTGAAGTTATACCAGAGAGAGTGAGCATCTATGGAAAAAAAGAAAAAACACCGGAGAGTGTTGGTGCGGGGGAACGACCCCAAACACTGGGACAGCAAGAGGGTTTCCTGAAGGGCTGGGGTGGCAGAGCATGAATTTCTCTTCCTCGACGGTGGTCTCTGCCTGTGGAGGAACCATGAGTCACCAACATGTCCATCTCCCCACTCTGCCCAGACCTATACTCACATCCGTCAGCACAGCACCCTGCCAGGGAGGTGGCAGGCCTGCTACAGGAGGAAGGACTTAGATGGCAGGATCTTCAGCAGCAGCCCAGGTGGACTGCAGGAGGCGGGAGGGTGTGGGAAGGCACCCTGAGGATGTTGGAGCATGGTGCAGTGGGTACGATGTAGTCAACATTGGATAAGGGTGAGTTCATTTATTATGGGTAACAAGACATAGTAAGTTCCCTGGAATGTGATCATCTGCTAGGAGGTTGCCCTTGGAACCTTGGAGAAAGGAATGACCCACACCACATGAAACAGAAAACCCAGGTCTTACATGGCAGGTTGTAGAGGAAGGAACAAAAGACTAAGAGAAGTGCCCATGCCACAGTGACTGCAGTATGGAATCCAGAACAATGTCCACCCTCTGTGCTCAAGGGAAGCCTGGAAGACTCCTGTTTACCCAGCATATAAAGAAGGCCCCAGGAGAAGGCAGCAGACTGTCAGGAAGCTCAGGGATGCCTGTTGCTGAAGGCCAGGGTCAGGGGTAGGAGATGCTGTTCCTGAAATGGGCTCCCGGTAGTAATGGGGGTGGAAAATCCTGAAATAACAGATCTCAAGAGGAGGCTATCAACTGTCAGCAGGAAGGAGGGTGCAATGATGGAAATAATTAGAGAAGTAACAATGCCAGCTGGGGACCTCAGTCTTACAAAGCTATGCCCCATAGAACAAAAGGGTCCAAGATCCAAAAGAGATGGAGACTCCACCCGGATACTACTAGATTTAAATAATTACCACAAAGACAAAATGCAAGGATGGATGACCAGGAGGCTGAAAGTTGCCACCCCAGGAAATAACTGAGCTCCTTTGCCCAGCCTTGAGAACTGAGCCACATCTCAGATGCAGAGTCCCTTACTAGAAGGAGAGCCCAGAGCCCCTGGTGAGCCCCTTCAACCCCACAGTAACTGCAATGACTCCTTCAGACTCCCCCACAGAGCAAGAAGGACATTCACTCTGGTAACTGTACACCATGAAACAGCAAATACCCAGACACTCCTAGTGGACACAGTGTGCGATCTGAGCTCTTCCCTGAGATGTGAAGCATTAACTTGCTCCCCTCTTACTCATGAGGTGCATTTGGAGCAAAGTAACAGATGGACGCCTGTGTCAGGTCCAGCTTAGAGGGATGTGCTGGGTTCATAGACCCATTCGATGGTAATTTCACATTTCCTGGATTTCTACCGGGAATGGTTAGTGTTTGTAGTTAATGTAGTAACTATTATAGGTTGTGCTGGTCATATGACATCCCCTGTCACTACTGAATGCTGCTCTGGTAGCTGGGATGCAGCCATACACACTCTCATGAGGAGTGTTGCTGGACCTGCCACTATGGCTATTTGACCCTGGACTCCCTAAGATCCCAGAGGCATGTGTGGTTGGAAAAGGTGCTATGTGGATTTCATGGCTATTCCCAACCACGGAATCACAACAGGGTCCCCTACTGCTCAGAAGCAAGGCTGTGCCACTCACAGCAATTAAATCCCCTCCCTTAAAAGTGGCTCCAGTTGTGGTCCTGGGCCCTGGTGGAGATGGGCCTCCAGCTATGGGAGGGCAGTGACCATACAGCCTCAGAGCTGCCCATCACACGGTGTGCTCCTCACCCTTTAGGTCATTAGGAAGGTAGGCCCAGCAGTGAGAAGATGCAGGTGGGTCTCCTGGGATGGGCCGGAGCAGGGCCACAGGGAACCAAGAAGCTGCACAAGCAGTTAGCCCCGATCCCCAGGACACCACATGGGTGTACCCCTCACCCTCAGCTCACACCTGAGGCTTCAGGGAGGGTCCCTGATCGCCCCAAGGGACCGATGATGCCACTCAGCAGCAAGGCAGGGGAGCATTGGCCCCGAACCATAGAACCTCCACTCACATCCATCACATCCACACCACCCAGAAGCCACAGGCAGGGTCGGACACACCTGTGACTCTTCAACTTACACCACTTGGAGATGACACCCCAGGGGATGGGGCAGCAATTGCCAGGACACAGCATGTGCCTTCACCTGGGGTCAGCAACCTAGGATGGTGTCCACATCTGGTCTCCCTTTTATTTGCAAGTTGCCATTGCCTGCTGTTCCTCTACAAAGGGACAGGACTTGACACACAGAGTACCCATGGCCAGCAAGGACCAAAGTGCCTTCAGCTTTTCCTTTCTAGAAAGGGTTTGCTGATACCTGTCTGCTTAGTGACTACTCTATATGACGCTGGCTCCCCAGTAGGAAGAACAGGTGGGTCTGGGATCCAAGGGCAGTAGTGGGCGCCTCTACCCACGGGCGCTCCCAGGGTCATCCTGGGGGACATGGTACTTCCCATCCCCCCTGCATTAGGTTTTGTGGAAAGCATGGGGTGTGTTTGCTGGGGTGTGTCCGCTGGGGTGTGTGATCAGGCAAAGGGAGTGAAGGTGTTATTTGGTGGAGGAGGTGCTAAGGGCCCCTTCTTGAATGGGGAGGTGAGGGAGGCCTGTGGGGTGACAGGGCTGGGCTGAGATGGGGAGTGAAAGGATGCGTCCTGAGTAGTGGAAGTGAATAGTGAGGGGAGGAGTAGGAAGTGTCTGCTGAGCCACTGGGGGCAGTTGAGTGTCTGCAGCAAAGCGCAGGGGGAAGTTCCAGGGCATGGAGCCCTGGGGATGCTGGAGGGTTTGTGTGGTAGAGAGCCGGCGAGAGCAGAGCAGACCTGTGGCTGATTGGGGTGTCAGTGATCGTATCTCTGTGGAACCCCCCTTCACCCCTGTCTTGACCCCAGCTCGGGTTCCAGGGGCTCTGGTTTCTCCTTCCCGAGGGCGAGTGGAGCTGCGGGGCTCCACCAAGGGATCCCCTCCCCACCTAGCCCTCTGCAGCTTTTTGGCTCCTCTACCCTCCTGCGGTTCCTTTTTCGCCTTCTTTGACCCCCCGCCTGCCCTGCGGGGCAAGCAGCAGCCTTAGGAAGCGGACCTGGCGAAAAAGAGCAGCGAATGGGAACTGAGCGAGGGGGCAGTCCGGGGAGATCGCGCCGATCCTTCTAGAAGCCTTCCCTCCTCTGAAACGCGCTGCAGTCCACAGCCCCCCAGGTTTCGCCCCTGCCCCGATGAAGCTCCATCCCCAAACTCACCGGCCCGCCCCGTCCCGGACCAGTCGGATAGCAGGTACAGAGTCAAGAGGCACAGAAGGATCGCAGGGCTGGCGGCCACTGCCATCGTAGACCTGGAGCGCAGCTGACTGGAGGAGCGGTCAATGTGGGGACCGGCGAATGAATCACTTCCACCCTCCCATGCCTGCTAGTGGTAGAGTATGCTCCGGCCCGCCCCGCCCCTCTCCGTCCCGTCCCGCCCACGGCGCCGGCTCCAGTACCCACCCCGCGCAGGGATCCCCGGGAGCCTACGCCTGCCCAAGTTTGGAGGGCTGCTCCGCCCTATCCCGCCCAGTCTCGCCCTTCCCCGCCCCACCCCGGGCTGGGACCCAGGGAGCCTAAGCCTGCTCTTGTTTGGGGATGCTCCGCCCCATGCCGCCCCGGGCTCGTGGCCTGACAGCGGCCCCCTCTAGCCAACACTTACCCTCCACCCCGGGCGCCGCGCGGGCCAGGACACGGTTCCTTCTTGACCGCCTCATTTAATTTTTTAGCACAGCATTTATTATTACCCCAGTGTAAGCACTGATGCACAGGAAAGCGATGAAACTTGCACAGGGATATTCAGTGGCGGCCGCGTCACCGCCTCTGTCAGCGACACCCGCCGTCCTTCAGCCTGCGCCCAGAGTCCCCGCCCCGCTCCGTCCAGGGCGCAGCTGCTTCCCAGTCCGGAGTGGACCTTCTTTGCCTCTCCACTAAAAGCTGAGGCGGTCTTTGAGTATATTCTACATGCCTTTATGACTTCTGGAAAAAAAGGAAAGAAAAGAAAGTCCTAGTGGCCGACAGTGATCAGTCATCATGTAATCAATTGTGTTTCCATGGAGAGCAGAAGCCGAGGGAGGGGTCTACGCATGCGTGGGGCTCACTTAGCTGCACACTCACCTGTGGCCAACTACACCCAAATCCGTGGGCCTAGGGCGGGTTTCCTATTTCAGTTGTGAGGTCTCCCGCTCTCCCTGAAGTCAGCAAATGCCAGGCCCACCCTGAGGACAGCTGGAGCTCTGAGCCCAGGCCGTGGCCTCTTCATGGCCCTGGGGGTGCTGTGAGGGGGTGGAAGTGAAAGCAAGACCCACCATCAGGACTCAGGCGTGTTTTTCAGACCCACAGAGGATGATTTTTCTCTCCATCACCTGGTGAGCCTGACATGATTTAAGGATGGTTGGAGGCTGAGTGAACCAGTGAATGAATGAGAGAGTTGTGGGAGTGAATGGGGCTCAGAGGAACAGCACAGGTGCAGAGGGGAGCTGGAGCGGAGGTTGTAACCCCCAGGGGCCTGAAGGTGGCAGCATGGAGGTTGGTAATTTTTTTTTTTTTTTTTTGCTTTTTTTCTTTTTTTGTTGTTGGGTTTTGTTTGTTGTTTTCTTGGTTGGTTGGTTGGTTGTGAGACAGAGTCTCACTCTGTAGCCCAGACTGGAGTGCAGTGGGACGATCTCAGCTCACTACAATCTCTGCCACCCGGGTTCAAGCGATTCTCCTCCCTCAGCCTCCCGAGTAGCTGGAATTAGAGGCGCCTACCACCACCTCCTGCTAACTTTTGCAATTTTAGTAGAGACAGGGTCTCACCATGTTGGCCATGCTGGTGTCGAACTCCAGGCCTGAGGTGATCTGCCTGCCTCGGCCTCCCAAAGCGTTGGGATTACAGGCGTGAGCCACTGCGCCTGGCACCAACTTGGAAATTTCAGTCTCCACCTGGTGTCCACAAAGATTTTCCAAGGAAGAGTAACTTTGGTTTTCAACCAGTCTGGGAGTGCTTCATCAGGATAGAATCTTCTAGAAAACATAGTGTGACGACGGACAGCAAACTGCTGTCTTCAGCTGGTTTGATTGAGCCTAGAGTGCACCAGGGCCAGGAAAATCTTGTCTTTTTTCTTGCTTTTTTTTTTTTTTTTTTTTTTTTTTTTTTTTTTTTGAGCTCAGAGTGCACCAGGCCATGAAATCTCTGGTTTTTTTTTTTTTTTTTTTTTTTTTTTGAGACGTTGTCTCATACTGTTGCCCGGGCTGGTGTGCAGTGGCGTGATCTAGGCTTGCTGCAACCTCCGCCTGCCAGGTTCAAGCGATTCTCCTGCCTCAGCCTCCTGAGTAGCTAGGATTACAGGCACCTCCCACCATGCCTGGCTAGTTTTTTTGTATTTTTAGTTGAGATGGGGTTTCACTATGTTGGCCAGGCTGGTCTCGTGATCCCCTCCATACCTGTGTTCCATTTAGTATACTGAGGTTTTCTTTGGTTGGTTTGAAAGCTATACATTCTAGTTTTCTTCTCAGGGTGGCTGTCCTTAACCTATGACTCATACCAATATGTATCACATTTATTGGTATTAATGGTTTCATTTTATTCCTAATTTTAGAAGTATCAGCATATTTTCCTATTCCTTTTGCGTGCCACCTCCAACCCCATTTTCCTGATATCTTTCCTAGCTGTAATTCTCGGTTATTCTTAGCTACACTTCTTTCTGTAATTCTAACTTCACATTTCCCTTGTTGTGAGATAACAGTAATCTGGAACAGATTCTTTGGTCACTTGTCCTTCTCGGTTCTCTTGTCACATCTCCTGTGTTTCTCTTGCTATTGAGGTACCTTCCTCTAAACTATTTCCAACTTGGTTTTTAGGAGGCAAATATCCTTCAGGTTTTCTATGTTTCGAATATTTCTAAAACACTATGGTGGGCAGGACTTGGTAGCTGCCCCTTCAAGTTTCCTGTACCTTTTCTAGAACGATATGTTCTAGAAAACACTGATGATATGGCAACTAGCTGCTGTCTTAGCCTGTTTGTTTAAGCCTGGAGCACACCAAGGGCAGGAAAATCCAGTATTTTAAGCAAAGAAAGAATGTGTGGGAAAGTGGGAATGGAAATGGGAAAGGAAAGGGGGCCAGGAAGAAGGGGATGGAGAGAATAAGGGGTGAGGGGCCTAGAGAAACCAGCTGCTCCTAGTCTAGGCACCACTAGTCTAGGTACTGTGAGTCTAGGAACCGCTAGTCTAGGCTCTGCATAGTCATAATTAAAGCTACTAATCAGTTGACCTTAAAATAGATTTTCCTGGGTTCTCTGAGTGGGCCCAGTGCCATCACATGAGCTCTAAAAAGCAGAAAATTTTCTCAGGCTGGAGCCAAGAAAGATGTGTCCAATGTCAGAGAGATTCTAAGCATGAGAAGGATTCCATGCACTGTTGCTGGCTCTGAGATGTGGGGACCATGAGCAATACTGGAGAGGGGCCTCTAGGAGTTAGGGAAGGGCTGCAGCTGACAGCCAGCAGGGAAGCTGGGACCTCAGTCCCACAGGTCCAAGGACTGGATTCTGCCAGCAACCTGAATGCACAAATGCTTCCTGGAACCTCCCAATCAGAGCCCAGCTGGTGGACACCTTGAACTTGACCTTGACCTTGAGGACTGGGAGCAGAGAAACCAATCAAGCCATCTCAGGCTTGTGACCTAGAGGACTGTGAAATAATAAAGATGTACTGATTTAAGCAGGTAAGTATGTGGGTGGCAATTTGTTATCACTGCAACAGAAAAGATACCTTCCTATTTAAATGAGAACTGGACTGGATATAAAATTCTAGGCTCAAGTTCTTTTCCTTCATATTTGAGAAAGAATACTCTGTTGTTATCTTGCAACCAGGGTTGTTGTTGTGTAGCCTGAGGGCCAAGTGTTTCCTTCTTCCCTCCATTGTTTCTCTGGGGTAATATGAGGGTGGGAGCCAGAAGCCTGAGCTTATTTCCTGTCTTCACCCAGTGGATTTGTACTATTCTAGGCTTTTAGTCACAGTCTCAAGGAGGTGGAGAATGGTTTCTACTTTAACCTACCTTTTCACAGATGCATTTGTAGATTGTACAAGCTTATTGTTTTTCTCTTATTCGACTAGTGCTAGTCTTCTCTCCTCCTATTTTATAAATATTAAACTTATTGAGATGTAATTTACAGACAATACTCCTTTGTGAACATAGGAGCTTAAAGTCTCTTATCTTTGGGAGCGTATTGAAATACATAGGCATTTGGCCATATTATAAGGCGTGTTCCCAGGCTATAAACGTTAAACAGATGAATGATACTACTTCAGTCATGAATTATCTTACCAATCTGTCAATTCTGTAGAAAATCATGTTTCTAGCAGTGCTTGCTTCAGGTTTGCAGAAGAGAAAAACAGCAATGTTTTCACTGAACATTGACTTTTAGACAAAATGAAGGCTAGAACTACATTACATTCATTTTTACTTCCTATCATTTCTATATTTTATAGATTTCATAAAATCGGCCCACAGTCTTAATTTATGATAATTGTAATAGATATCTTAGTAAAACACCCAGTCTCTTTCAGTTATTGGAAACACTTATAAATTCTAGGCTTTAACAATAAATAGCACATTGTAGAACAGCAGTGTCGTTTAAAAACTGAACTTACTTGAATTAATCAGACATGACAAGATATTTTATGACCCTAACAGAAGCTTAACGAACAATGTTGAATAGATTTCAATACTTTTTTATAATATATCTAAACTGTGTCAATTATGTTAACACTACCTTTGAGAAGAAATCATCAATTTTGGATTTAACATACAGGATGGCACCCTAGAAAATGTTAAAACATCAGGAGAATTGTACCTTTAAGAGTGGAAATGAGCAATGAAAATACACACTACCAGAGTCACCTCCTGGGACGCCTAGATATTTACTTGTGATTTGAGCATTTTTCTGCCTCGAAACAGCAAAACTGACAGTTTAGCTGTAACTGGCAGGCACCACATGACACAGCAACAACAGAGCAAGAAAACCAGGAATATCTTTTGCTCAAAATAAAGTTATTTCAAATCTTGTTTTAAAAGCTTTTTTGCTAAGGTGCCTCCTCTACCCAAGAAACTAACAAAGAACCACAGCAGCAACAATGATGCCCAGCGAGAGCAGCACTGCGCGTGTAAAATCCAGTAAAGCACTCTGCCCTGAGGATTCGTCACTGCAGCTGTCCTGAGGGCTAGAATGTTTTCTACCTGACTGCTCCGGGAATGTGCAAGCCAAAAAATGAACAAAAATGATCCCTGGCTTGTGGAGATCCACAGGCGTTGAACAGAATCCAACATAATATCTCTGCAGAACACAACCTCACGTAGGCAGCAGAGGCTTCCTGCAGTAAAAAAGCCATGCCACAAAAATGCTCAGAAACCTATAGAATATATCAAGAGTCAAATCACAGTAAGTGAGTGAGCCAATCCCACAGAGTACGTTCGGCCCTGAAGAACTACAGATATTAGAACTAAAAAGAAAATAGTAAAATATGTATCCTTAAATCATTAAAGACATAAAAGAAAAAAACCCACTGCAACCATTGAGACATTGTCAAAAAGACTAGTTATATCTGAAATAGAAAGAACCAAGCAGCACTTACAGCAATGAAAAATATGTTAATTAAAATTTGAAACTCAACACACTGAGAAGCAGCATATTAAATATAAGATGAAGTCACTGACCTGGATGGATCTGAAGAAATCATTCAAAATTTGGTAGAGAGAGAGTTTCATGCTGAAACTGCAAGAGAGAAGTATAAAGATATGGATGTACAAGGAAAAGGGCCAACCTGCCTCTAATTGGACTTCCAAAAGCAGAGAAGAAAATGAGGGAGAGGAAATTTTCAAAGAGCTAATGGCTAAGAACTTTTTCAGATTTTATGAAAGACATAGATTCTCAATTTTAGGAAACATAACCAATCTCAATTAGAATAAATAAAAATAAATTAACTCCTAGGTGCATTGTGATGAAATTGGAGAATATCTTAAAGGTTGTCTTCAAGAAAAGTATGTTTGAAGAGAACAACTTAAAAGGGAAAAATTTAAAAGCAATTATTGATAAAATATAATCAATAGGAAAGACAATCAATTTGACAACAGCCTCCTAGCCAGTTTTTAAAATTCGCAGCCATTGTCTCTCAAAATATGCCTTCTGTGTTGTTTTACCTGTCCTTTTAGGATTCCAATTAAATGTGGGGTGAACCTTTCTACAGTGTCTGCCACAGCAGCTGTGGCTTCTGAATTTTACTGTCTCTTCTAAATTTTTCCACTCTTCAGTCTTCCTGTACTGCATTCCAAATGATTTCTCTTTCTTGACCTACCTTCCAGCTTACACTTCTCTCTTCAGCTCTAATTTGCTATTAAAGCCATCTGTTGAGTTCTTCATTCCAGTTAGTTTTATACTTATAGATTATTCCATAGTGCATATATCTTACATTTGAAGTAATGAATTTTTTTCTGTTGTTTTTTCATTTTTTAAGTTATTAAATCATAGTAAGCATAGTTATTTTTAAATCCCTGCCTGATAATTCTAATTTTTTTTTTTTTTTTTTTTTGAAACAGAGTCTTGCTCTGTCTTCTGGGCTGAAGTGCAGTGGTGTCATCTCAGCTGACTGCAACCTCCACTTCCTGAGTTCAATTGATTCTTGTGCTTTAGCCTCCTGAGTAGCTGGGACTATAGACAGGCCCAATTAAGGAAGGAGACCACTCCTACTCCCCACACCTTGCCTAGTTCACAAGACAGGAGGAGAGAGAAAGCAAAAAGTTAGAAAGAAACCAAAGTAAGATAAATAGCCAGACAACCTCAGCACCACCACCCTGCCCTAGGAGTTAAAGAAATAATAATAATAACATCAATCCCTGACCTAAACTACTTGTGTTATCTGTAAATTCCAGACACTGTATGAAAAAAGCATTGTAAAACTTTTTGTTCTGTTAGCTGAGGCATGTAGCCCCCAGTCATGTTTCCCATGCTTGCTCGATTTATCACGACACTTTCACGTGGACCTCTTAAAGTTGTAAGCCTTTAAAAAGGCGAAGAACTTCTTTTGGGGGAAGCTGGGCTCTTAAGACGCGAGTCTGCCGACGCTCCCGGCGGAATAAAAAACCTCTTCCTTCTTTAATCCGGTGTCTGAGGAGTTTTGTCTGCAGCTCTCCTGCTACATTTCTTGGTTCCCTGACCGGGAAGCGAGGTGATTAACCAACTGTGGAAGCAGCCCCTTAGGCAGCTTATGCCTGCCCTGTAGAGCATCCCTGTGGGGGACGCTGGCCAGCTTGAGCGACGCGGATCCTGAGAGCGTTCTCAGGTAGGCATTTGCCCTGGTGGAACACCTCGTCAGAGCAGTGCACAGCAGGCCCCCACGGAGGATCAAGGCAGTGGCTGAACACCGGGAAGGAACTGGCACTTTAAGTCCGGACATCTGAAACTTGGTAAGACTGGTCTTTGGAACTTGCCCACTCCATTTGAGTGGAAGTGTGGCCTGATCACCCACGGCGTGCCTGTACCGGCACTTTGGTTTTTGTTTTTGACTTGACTTGCTTGACACTGTGGTTTTAGTTTTGATTTTGATTTAGTGTGAATTAGATGAGTGAGTGATCTTTTACCCTTTCCTTCTTACAGTGTGAATGTTGTTTTATCTTGAGAAAAAAATAGGTCAGACACAAAGTATGCCCACTCCAGTAGGAACTGTGTTAAAAAAAAATTCAAAAAGAAAAAAAGTCATCAAATCATCAAAAGTTACTCTGTTAAAATGCACGTTACAGAACCTTAAGAAAGGTTTTGCAGGAGATTATAGAGTTAAGTTAACCTCCTAGAGGTTAAGAACTCTGTGTGAATTAGAACTGCCCTCTTTTGGTGTTGGATGGCCCATGGAAGGAACTATAGACAGAGAACAACTGGCCATGTATTTAAGGTGGTGACAGGGGTCAGAGGACAGCCAGTGTACGTAGATCAAATTCCTTTATATTGACTCATGGTTAAATATAATATAGACAAAACCAGCATAAATTTAGCCCTGTTTAACAGCTTATTGCAAAAAAGCCAAAAGTAAAAGTAAGAGCAGCTTCACCAGCAGACACAGAGTTAAAAAAGGAGTCCCAGAAACAGCAGGAGAAGCCAGGTTTGCAGGAGTCACCAGAGATAATAGAAATTCTTTCTTCATATGTCCCAGCCCACTACCCCGCTTTACCAAGGCCAACAGCCCCCTCGGAAATGAGATTCAGAAGCTAACACACCCCAGGTCTCACCTCGAAGGGGAGGATTGGAGCCTCCAGAGGCCAAGGAAGGAAGTCAAGATAGTCAGGTGGGCCGTCTCAGATCTGGTCTTGCTGGAGCTATGTAAATGCCTCTCAGGGAGACGGAGGACCTGTCTATTATAATGACCAAGCCCACATCCGGGGGGTGGGGAGGGGAGGGAGGCAACAGACTTTCATCTATCAGCCGTTTCAACCATTGATCTACTAAACTGACAACACCCTGAACCCGCCACCTTGCTCCCGGCAGCTAGAGCCCTGTCAAGCATAACTGTGTAGAGGTGTTGGACTCAAGTTTACTCTAGCAGACCTGACCTCTGGGACCAGCCTTGGGCATCAGTAAACTAGGAGCTATACGTGGATAGGAACAGCTTCATCAACCCACAAGGAGACAGAAGTGCAGAATATGTGGTGGTAACCCTGGACACTGTCATTAAGCTGAGCTCATTGCTTTAATTCGGGCCTTAGAATTAAATACCTCAGTAAAGGTAAGACTGTAAACATTTACCTGACTCTCGGTATGCCTGTTTAACCCTCCAAGTGCATGGAACATTATATAAAGAAAAGAGCCTGTTAAACTCCAGGAAAAAGGGGAAAAAAGACCCAGAGAATGCAACTCAGCTTCAGCGTTTGCAGAGGTACTGAGAAGCACTTCTGCAGAGGCTAAAACTTGGTAGAAAAAAGCAAGTCATTTAAAAAAGATTTCAGGAATGCTTCAAGGAGCTGACAAGAGCCTAAGTCACTTTTATAAGAGACTATAAAGCATTCTGGTTTTACACCCCATTTAACCCTGAGGCTGCTGAAAATTAGTATATAGTGAATACTTCATTTGAAAAGCAAGCCCAGGGTAACATCAAGCAGAAGCTGCGGGCATGAATACCACCTAGTCTATAAAAGCGGCCACCAAGGTGTATGTTAACTGTGACCAAGGGACAAAACTGGAAAAGAGCAAAAGAAAAAAAAAAGACTAAGAGTAAATGTAAAAAAGAGAATCAGAAGAAAACAGGAGAGACAGATAGCAGTGCACGGGGGCAGGGCCCGCGCCGTTGCCCGGCCCCACCAGCTGGCCTAAGAGCAGGAAAACTCAGTAAAAAAAAAAAAAAAAAAAAAAAGAAGACTTTAGAAAAAAAGCCAATCTATTAGCAACAGCTCTTATAAAAAAAAATTAGCAATGTGAGAAGAGGTGGTCGTGCATATAAACGTGAAAAAAGTCAAGTTAGGCAAAGATTCAAGAGCCAGACAAGGCTAGAGAGAGATTAATGTGCGAAATGCAAAAAGAAAGGACACCAGAAGGTTAAATATTCAAAAGGCAATAAAGCAAATGGCCAAGGCCACAAGACAAAGAGGCCGTTGGCCAAGGGCTGCTGCACCTTGGAGGAACCAAATACTGATCTGATCAGGCTGACAGGAGCTAAAAAATGTAAAGACTAGGGCAGACTAGGGACCCTCCCATTAGGCTCCCAGGAGCCCATGGTCAATTAGAAGTCAAAAGCAGCAAGATTCTGCTGTATCTGGATTCCAATTTCTCACTGAAGGCTAAGCCACTAAATAGAGTTACAAATGGGGACAGTGTGGGGAGAAGAGCCCCTCCTCTAAGAAACTCAAACAGGAAAAAGAGCCATACCTTGTGAAAACCTGCTTACAGATTTTACAGACCTGCCCCGTGCTGGAGGCTATCGGTACAGGCTAGTGCTTGTTTGCACCTTTTCAAGGTAAGTTAAAGTTTTCCTCACCAGGACAGAAAAAGTACAAGAAGTGACTAAAGTACTGTTAAAAGACATTATCCCCAGGTTTAGACTACCTCTAACTTTAAAGTCAGACAATAGGCCAGCATTTGTAGCTGAAATAGTGCAAGATTTAACAAGACTGTTAAAAATAAAATAAAAGTTACACACAGCCTATCGGCCACAAAGTTCAAGAAAAGGTAAAATGCATGAACTGGACACCCGAGCAGCTACTAAAAAAAAGTATTGCCGGAAAATCATTTAAGGTAAAATCAGGTTTTTGCCTACGGTCCTCCTCCGAGTCAGGTGCACTCCCACCAAACAAACTAGGTATTTGCCCTATAAGATTTTGTTCGGTCGGCCACCCCCAAATCATAAGTCAAATTAAAGGTGACCTCCAGAAACTAAGGGAATTAACCTTAAAAAAACAAATGCAGGCTTTAAAAGTAGCCATACGAAGTCTTCATGATTGACTAAATGGAAATGCCTATAAGTCTGACACCACTTTAAATCTAGTGACACTGTTTAAAGTAAAATCTAATTTTTGTAGGACCCATATAGGATGGGCCCTCTACTGTAACCTTGTCCACTCCCACTGCTGTTAAAGTTGCAGGTGTTGTGTCTTGGATCCACCACAGTCAGCTAACACTGGCAGCTCAGGACAAGTGGACCAGCCAGCAGGACACAGATCATCCAACCCAGCTGATCCTGAGACGAGACCAAGCTGCTGCTGAGGATGACAGTCCTGGTCTGGTCACTCTGGAGGCTGACCAGTCTACCCACGACTGAAGCTTGAGGAGACAACAAGCCCTGCTCTAGTCACACACCGGCAGCTGACTAGTCTACGCATGGCCGAAGCTTGAGGACTCATCAAGCAAGTAAATGGAGTTAAAAATCTTAGGACTAATAGTTTTCCTGTAATACTGTTTTCCTATTGTTCTGTCACTGTATTCAACCTTTTTCCCAGGTAAGGACCTCTTTTGTCCTTGCTGATATGAATATGCTGTACATTGTTTTGTTCTTGTTACCCCCGCATGACCATGCTAGAAGAAACACCTATATAAGGTGTCCCCACTGTACACATACTACTTAGGAAACCCAGACCCATCCAGCCCAGCAACAATTCCGAGTCTTTCAGTCATTCTTGAAACATATAAACCAGAAGTTACCAGAACCTCCTCCTTTAGCAAAAAAAGACAAAACCTATATGCTCAGTTGGCTGAAAACATTGCTGGCAGCCTAGCTGTTTCTTCATGTTATGCTTATAAAAAGGCTAACATAAGACACCAATGGCCTTGAGAAGCAAAGGAGTTAATGCCTCCGTGGCTCAAGCCTGTAATCCCAGCACTGTGGGAGGCCGAGACGGGCGGATCACGAGGTCAGGAGATCGAGACCATCCTGGCTAACACGGTGAAACCCCGTCTCTACTAAAAATACAAAAAACTAGCCGGGCGAGGTGGCGGGTGCCTGTAGTCCCAGCTACTCCGGAGGCTGAGGCAGGAGAATGGCGTAAACCCGGGAGGCGGAGCTTGCAGTGAGCTGAGATCTGGCCACTGCACTCCAGCCTGGGCGACAGAGCGAGACTCCGTCTCCAAAAAAAAAAAAAAAAAAAAAAAAAAGAGTTAATGCCTCCAGATAACTTTACTTTAACACTTTCACCAAACAGATGCCCCAAGTTCAAGCGTCTGGCTCTTAAAAACTTCTGTTATTAAAAAATACTGTGTTATTCACTAGAAAAAGCTTTTAAGACCCAGTAAAAAACTAACCTGCTAAAGACATGACAAAGTCGATACATGTGCCTGTACAGGTTTAACAGAGGTTTGACCCTTGGTCTTCATTTAGAAAATAGTTTACAGCTATAAGAAAATTTAAAACCCTCATTGTAAGTGTATTACTAGTACTAGAAACTCGCTTGCTGCTCCCCTGTATATTACATTTACTCCTTCGAATGATAAAAGGGTTTGTAGCTACCATGGTTCATCAGAAAACTTCAATGCAAGTGTATTACATAAAACACTATCACTGTGTCTCGCAAAAAGACTCAAAAAATAAAAATAAAACTCCCACTAATTAGTGAAAATTCTCAAAGAGGGGGATAAGGAAGGAGACCACTACTACTCCCCACACCTTGCCTAGTTCACAAGACAGGAGGAGAGAGAAAGCAAAAAGAAAGAAACCAAAGTAAGATAAATAGCCAGACAACTTTGGCACCACCACCCTGCCCTAGGAGTAAAAAAAATAACAATAATAACATCAACCCCTGACCTAAACTACTTGTGTTATCTGTAAATTCCAGACACAGCATGAAAAAAGCATTGTAAAACTTTTTGTTCTGTTAGCTGAGGCATGTAGCCCCCAGTCACATTTCTCACGCTTGCTCGGTTTATCACGACCCTTTCACGTGGACCCCTTAAAGTTGTAAGCCTTTAAAAAGGCCAAGAATTTCTTTTTCGGAGAGCTTGGCTCTTAAGATGGCAAGTCTGCTGATGCTCCTAGCCAAATAAAAAACCTTTTCCTTCTTTAATCCGATGTCTGAGGAGTTTTGTCTGTGGCTCGTCCTGCTACACAACCACACCTGGCTAATTTTTGTATTTTTAGTAGAGACAGGGTTTCACCATGTTGGCCTGACTCGTCTTGAACTCCTGGCCTCAGATGATTCTCCCGCCTTGGTCTCCCAAAGTGCTGGGATTATAGGTGTGAGCCACTACACCTGACTAGATAATTCTAAAATTTGAAGTTGCAAGGTCTAACCCAGCAGTTACTAGCTACACGAGGCTATTGAGAAATTGAAATACAATTAGTTTGAATTGAGATGTACTGTAGTATATGGTGCACACCAAATTTCAAAGGTTTAGTATAAAAATGTCAAATGTCAGCCGGGTGTGGTGGCTCACGCCTGTAATCCCAGCACTTTGGGAGGCCAAGACAGGCAGATCACGAGGTCAGGAGATCGAGACCATCCTGGCTAACATGGTGAAACCCCGTCTCTACTAAAACTACAAAAAATTAGCCAGGCGTGGTGGCTGGTGCCTGTAGTCCCAGCTACTCGGGAGGCTGAGGCAGGAGAATGGCATGAACCTGGGAGGCAGAGCTCACAGTAAGCCAAGATTGCACCACTGCACTCCAGCCTGGGTGACACAGCGACACTCTGTCTCCAAAAAAAAAAAAAAAAAGAAGTCAAATGTCTCATTATTCATTTGTCTATTGATGACATGTTGAAATAATAGTTTTGGTTAAAAAAATTGAGTTAAAACATATTGAGTTAAAAATATTGTAAAAATGTATTTCACCTGTTTCTTTTTATTTTTTCAATGTGTTCACTAGAATATTTAAAATTCCCTGTGTGACTCACACTTGTGGCTTCCATTATATTTCTATCAGAGTACTGATCTAGAGGTTCCATATATTTTCTGTCTCTGTTGTACGTTTCAGCTGGTTCTCATTTCTGCTATCTTATCTTCCCATGTGGTTGGTTATCTTTGTCTACGTTCTGGATACGATGTTTTAAAAATTGCTGTTGACAGAATATAAAGTGTAGGATGGGCTGGCCATAGTGACGCACTCCTATAATCCCAGCACTTTTTGAGGCTGAGGTGGGGCAGATGGCTTGAGGCCAGATGTTTGAGACCAGTCTGGGCAACATGGTAAAACCCCATCTCTAGTAAAAATACAAAAATTAGCTGAGTGTGGGGTCATGCACCTGTACTTTCAGCCACTCAGGAGACTGAGGTGGGAGGATCACCTGGATCTGGGAAGTGGAGGCTGCTGTATGCTGTGATCGCGCCACTGAACTCTAACCTGGGTGACAGAATGAGACCCCATCTCAAAAAAAAAAAAGGTAGCATGATATTTCCTTCTTCCAGAAATGAATTTCATTTGCTTATATCAGGTACTTGATAGCTATAAAATTGCTTGAATTTTGCTGCAGGAATTGAGATATTTTGGGACATTCAGAAGCCTTGAACCTGGACTGCCTTCTGTTTGAAGACTGGTTGACCATCAGTCCACCTTTACTCTGAGGGTCCAGTCCCACTCTTGGCAGGCTCTGGACTCCAATATCTTTTTGCACAGCCCCATGAAGTCATCCAAAGCGCATGTGAGCCACTAGAATCAAAAGGCCGCCGACTCTTTACCACATCACTACTGCCACAGTTAGGAAGTCACCAAGACAAGGAAGGAATCCATCCATAATCAGAAACCTACCACCCTCAGAAACCACAGCCGCTGTTGCCCGCTGCAGATCCCACTGTGCCTGTGAGGATTTTCAGCTTCAAATGGACGCCACGTGCCCTGCTCTCAGCACCTCAGAGCCAGCGACCAGAGCCCAGGACCTCAGCTAACACTGCCCAGAAAACTGAATATCTCCCCCGCTGGGCTTGGCAGCAGAAGCAGCAGATGCCTGGCCCCTGCTGCAATTCCCCCACATTTGAGTGACTGAATCTGCACCACATCCTGACTCTGGCTGTAAAGGAGTCTGGGAAATGTAGTTTTTAGCTTTCCTGTTTCTGTAGTATAGGAAGGCACAGCAGAAAGCAGATGGAATGGACTTATCCTTCCCCCATCTGCCCCCCAGGTATATACAATTATAATACCATTTGGTTTAAGTTTCAAAATATGCAAAATGATACTATATCTTGCTTACTGATATATATGTGTAAATTCATGTACATCCATACACCTGTATCCGTGTATCTACATATGTGCATATCCATATATAAGTATACAATTGCCACAAAGGCAGTAAGATCAGTCGTGGTTTCAAGCACCGGCTCTGCAATCAGAAACCCTGTGTTTGTGTGACATGGGGCATGCATGTTTCCTCAGTCTTGCTCGCTAAGCTTATGCTTCCCTGTGTGTAAAATAGGCATCATGATAGTACCTACCTCAAAATATTGCTGTGGGCCTCAAATAAGCCAATGCCTGTAATAGACTTAGCATAGTGCTTGGCTTGTGGTAATACTCAGAGAATTGTAGCTCTTTCCATCATAGGGGGTAGTAGAAGGCCTCGGTGGTCAACCCAACTCATTGTATCAGCCTGACAAGTCACTTAACTCCTCCAGGCCTTGATTTCTTGTCTTTCAGATGAGGGAGTTGCCCTAAATGATCTATGAGGTGAGTTCCTAAGCCAATGTCTCCAGGTCCTTAGGGGAGAGTGAGGTTATTTCCTTAGCATTTTACAGTGAGCATTGGAGAGTCTGGCTTTCCGAATTTTTACTGTTATTATTTCTTACAAACTCTTGTCGTTCTAACTTATCTCTAGATACTACCTGAGAGAAACAGAAAATAAAACTACCACCAGGACCCACCAGCAACATGACACAGAGCCAGTGACTTCGGCTGCTAAAATCAAAATGTACACCAGAGGGCGCTGCAGTTAAAGAGCGAGACAGAGGTGAGCGGGCTGCCAGGGTCCAGTCTCCTAGGGGCTAGAAAAAGCTATGAGCACAGGCCTTGGGGAGGCGGTAGGACTACCTGAGGCGGAATTCCACGAAAACCAAGTGAAAAAATACTGTTTCATTCAGGCTTCAGTTACCTGGATGCGTGTTCCTCGGGAGAGTGGTTGTGTGTGGTTTTCGCACACTGATTTGGATTGTTGTTATAAAGCTGAAAGGGCCACATTCATAAAACAAATAAATAACAAAAATAAAAACTTTTATCTTTTGCTGTGAATTTTTTTTTTTTCTGAGACGGAGTCTCCCTCTGTTGCCCAGGCTGGAGTGCAGTGGCGCGATCTGAGCTCACTGCAAGCTCCGCTTCCCGGGTTCACGCCATTATCCTGCCTCAGCCTCCCGAGTAGCTGGAGCGAGAGGCACCCGCCACCGCACTGGCAAACTTTTCTGTATTTTTAGTAGAGACGGGGTTTCACTATGTTAGCCAGGATGGTCTCAATCTCTCGACCTGGTGATCCGCCCGCCTCGGCCTCCCAAAGTGCTGGGATTACAGGCGCGAGCCACTAAGCCCGGCCATGAATTCTTAAATAATGGAAAGTGCTTGCAGAATTCTCCTACTTAGTAAATGAGAAAATGTCCGTGTTGGCAGCCTGTCAAGATGACACGTTTTCACAGTACTTAGGGGAGACAACCTCCAGAAATAAAATAACCTTGTGGCAATTTACTCACAGTG